ACGTCGTCATCATCGCTTTTTGGTTCAGGTGGCGCTGGTGGTGCTGCGCCTCCTGTTGGGCCTCCTGTTGCGCCTCCTGTTGTGCCTCCTGTTGCACCTCCTGTTGCGCCCGCTCCTCCTTCTTCCGAATCATCGTCGTCGTAGTCGTCGCGGCGATCGCCCCTCGTGAACTCGCCTCTGGGATCCTGCTCCAGAATTGCTGTGGCGGCTTCGTCCTCGGGTGAGGCGTAGCTGTGCCCCTCGTTGGCGTAAACGCGATTGGCGTTTGTTTGCTCATCGTCACGGAATTGCCGCAGGAAGAGCCGCTCGTAGAAGATGACGTCGCGCGCATTCTTGATTTTCTGGCTCAGGAGATCCAGGATGATCCACGCTTTGTGTTCGTGACTGATGCCGAGGTGGATTCCCCAGCGCGCGCGGCTCTTAAATTTCCCGATGGTTGATGTTGGCGGTTGGTATTGAACCATGCACCCTCATACGCGGAGCATGGAGGTGTCCCCCTTTCTTCCCGTCCACTTCACATGCGGCGAGGAATTCCCGGTGAGTGCGGTGGTTGACAGCAGGTTGTGCACCCGCACGGCGTGGTGCATCGCGTAGGTCCAGTAGATCGGCGGGAGCTTTGTCTGCCTCATTAGCGCCCGCACCTTCGTCATGAGGGTGCGATTCGTGCGCTCTGCTACGCCCTGCTGCTGGTGCGCGTAGGGGAGAGAGATGTGGTGCTCAATCCCTTTTTGCGCAAGGTAGTCTTGCAGCTCCTTGCTTCTGAATTCTGCCGCGCCGTCGGACTGCCAGATCTTCAATTTCTCCCCAGATTGCCGCTGCGCGTGCGCCAGCCACAGGCGGAATGCTTCGTAGGCTCTGCTGTGTGACTCCAAGTTTACGACCCACACGTGGCGCGTTCCGGCGTCGTCGAAGGTGAGTATGTAGAGCTCATCGTTGATGCCGGCGTATCTCCAATTTGGCGTAGCGATTGGTTCCTGGCTCGAGCAGGGGGAAGGGCTGGTGACTCAACGCAGCTTCGGGGCAGATGGTGCAGGTGCACGGGTGAGTTCCGCCTCTTACTTCGGAGCCGTCAGGGCGCAGCAGTGCGCCAGGTGCGAAGACGCCGGCCTCGATACAGTTCTTCAGGGTCACGCGCGAGGGGTGCCCTAGGCGTTGGTGTCAGATGGTATCGTCGGCGCGGAATCCGGAGGTGCGCATGTAGCGCGCAAGTGCTTCTGCGGGGTCTTCGTCAGGTGCTGGTGCAGGTATAGGCACTGCTCCCTCGTTCTCTTCTTCTTCCTCGTTCGCCGTCGTTAGCATGAGGGCGAGAAATTCTCTGTCGCGGATGATTGAGTAAGGGATGTTGGTCCCTGGGATTGTTCCGAGCACTAGGGTTGGCTCGCGCCGTTCGGGAGCAGGACCGTAGACGGTGCGGCGCGGTGTGGATGGTGTCCCAGGGGTCGCGTTCCGGCTGTAAATTAGGTGGGAGCAGGGTAGGTGTGAGAAGTCGCGGTGGGCGACCGAGAGGAACAATTGCTGGTTCTGCTGCTGCTTCTTCCTCTACCCCCCTTTGGTCCTCGCGGGAAGCTCCCCAGCCGCTCGTCTCGCCGCCTTGTACGGCGCCCCATCCGCCGGTTGCGGCACCCCACCCGCCAGTGTCGCTTGTTCCCCATCCGTTGGCGCTCCCCCACCCCCCTTCATTGGAAGCGCTCTCCTCGTCGTACTCCCAAGCGAGCGTTCCACGGGCCTCGGCGAGGCTCTTCTGTCGAAGCTCTTCGGCTTCGCGTTGCGCCAGCGCCTCTTCCTCCGTCGGCGAGAGTTGCTTCTTCGAATCACGCCGATGAGAGTATATCTCTGTCGCCTTCTTTTCGGTGTATGGTCGTGGGTTCCCGTGTTCGTCGAAGGTTTCGACGCCGACACCGCGAAGCATTCCTTGGAGATGCTAGGATGCGGGTCCGGGGAGTGGAGATTCTGGTGTGCCGAAGACGACCCGCGTAGCTGTTTCCAGCTCCAGTTGGGATAGATCCTCCTCAGGCGGTGCGTCGCGCTCTGCTTCGAAGATGGCGGCGAGGCAACGGCCGGCGATTGCGCTCGTCAAGGACGTGGGTGTGTGACAGCTCCTGCAGACACCATCGGGGTCGGCGCCGTGTAGCGCCAGCTCGTGCGGATGTGGGTGATGTGGCACCCAAGGGCGTCCATCAGGGTGCTTCCAGTCGCGGCGATGTATATGTTCGAAGCGCAGGGGGACGAGATCAATCAACTCCTGCGAGTCGCCGCTGCAGTCGGGAATGTCGAAGTCGAGAACATATACTCCGTTCTCGGCGCGCGCCCGTCCGATCTGCTTGCGCGTCTTGTTCGGCATTATGAAGTGAAGCAGAATATCGCGTGTCTCAGGGTCGGTGCTAAGGATGACTCCAAAATCCAGGAGTTGCGCCGCCGAGAGCAGGTTGAAGCGCAGGTTCTGCACAATCAACACGTCATTCAAGGTGATGTGCGTTCTGCTCCCATGTGCCTTAACACCACAATGCCTTGCGCGCTTGCGTGCAGCCGCGTATTGTTCGCCACAGTGACGTAGGTGACGGCGGGGGTGGGGATGGCATTGGATATGTAACGCTTAGAGCCCACCATGTGCTGCCCACAGCAGCTGTCCAGGTACCACGAGTTGTAGCGCCTGTTGTCGTTTCGCGCGAGCAGCGCCAGTCGCGGAGTGACGATGTGCGGAGTGTCAACCTTGAGAAATTGTTCGCGCGCGATCCAATCGATCGGTGCCGGCCGCATGTCAGGTATGTGCGGGGGGCTCTCAAGCAGCGGGACTGGCAGATTCCAGTCCTGGATGTCATCGTCGCTGAAGTCGTGATGCGTGCTGAACGGGTTGTTGTTCGAGGACGCTTCGATTGGGTCAGGTGCCGGCTCAGGTGACAGTGAGCGTGCACGCGGGCGACGAGATCTGCTCGTCATTGTCATGTTCCCCATGACATTGCGGACTGGGGCGGCCTGTGATGGCTGCTGCTGCTGTTGAACTGTTGGGTTCAGGCTGCGCGATGAGGATTGATACCCCTGGGCGGGACGCATGTCGTTTCTCGCGTCTTGTCGGCAAGACCAGTTGCTCGGATTGGTCTGGCGAGGGCGAGATCGAAGCTTGCATCGATCCGCCAAGTGCCCGAAATTCCTGCAAATTTTGCAGTAAAGGCGCCGCGGCCGTCGCTCTTCTGTGTTGTCGGCGAAGAAGGCGAGGCGCTCCTTGTCTCGTCGCGGCGCTGGTCACTGCTGATCCATATCCCTTTGTTCGACGAGAAGGGCGGCGCAAAGGGCGGCCTCCGAGATGACCCCCTGCTGTCGGAGAAGCGCCTTGCAGGGCCGCCACTCAGGGCCGAGCCCTTGAAGCACAATGTTGACGAAGATCTCTTCGGAGATCGTGCTTCCCAACTTCGCGATTTGATCGCGTAAGCTCCGACAACGATTCAGGTAGCTATTGGCCTTCTCTCCTGGTGCCATCTTCGTCTCCAGTAGCTGTTGGAGTAGGCGGCTCGACGACACTGAGTCCTTTGGTTGGTATACGCCGTTTAGGTGGCGCCAGGCGTTGAGGGCTGGAGCAGGAGAGGTCTTGTATGAGCGAATGCTCAATTGCTCCGTCGGCGACATGTTCCGCAGAAGAACCCCGTATGCCATTAGGGACTCGTTGTAGTACTTGATTTTTGCGTCGTCAGTATCCTCCGTAGGTCCCGAGTAGCTCCCGTTGAAATAGTGATAAATCTGCGCGTTTTGCAGCAGCAACTCCAGCTCGAAGCTCCAGGTGTAAAAGTCTTTGCCGTCCAAGCACACATTTGTCTTTATTTTTGATATGCTCTCATACCATGTTGCGATCAGTAGTTGATCGTAACCAGGATCACCTCGGGAAGGTTCGCACACTTCTAATATAGTGGTGGTGGGCCCTTGACCTCAATAGCAGAGTGAATGTAAATGCTTGAGATAATGAAAACATGCAGTACAAGGAATATAAATAGGAGTACAGGGGAATTCGAAACGTTCTAGCTAGCCATGTACTCAAAGGGGTACATTACCTTATTGCATTGAGATCCAACCGTGCGACTCCGTGCGGTTACGAAACCGTTCGGGCAGAATCCTCGCCACTGCTACTGCCTGACGCTGTCTGCCCGACGGTCCAGATGCTTCTCGTAACCATGTGACCCTTCGCGTCACTTGCGCCCTTTCTGCGTTTGCTGCGGTGAGGATTGCCCAATAGTACTTCAGTAATTACTATTCGTAACATTTTTTACCTCTTCACCGACCACTATCATTCAGGGTTAGCCTCCTCGAGAAGCGTGTTCGCGAGGTCGGTAGAGCAGTTGCTTCGTGCAAGAAGGTTGATGACAAAGCGTAACTCTTTTAGCGGCGTCGTCCACAAATTAAAACGGTTTCGCAATCGTCGTCTTGACGAAGCACCTGCATCTCGTAACTTCCAATGCCACACTGGCATCAGAACAGAATCAGTCCCAGTCAACGAGAGCAGGGTACTGTACCGTAATTGAAAAGCTGTCGCATGGATGGAATGGAAGGTGCGGCGGAATGTCGACGGATGGATGTAGAGGGAGGTTGGTGGGAGGGAGGCCCAGTTCGGCAGCCAGGGGGAAGCGAGAATGCTTGCATTCGCGATACAACGTTTCTCAACATTAAATGTTCACCAATTGAACATCATTGAGCATTACGGTACCATTCCAGCCGTACCGGTATCTTGTCATCTCGGAAGGAACTATTACTCCATATTGCGTTTGTTGAATATCTTAACACTGTGAACTAAGAGCATCTCTCAGTTCCTGCAAATCAGAAAAAACCTCTTGACAATTATGACATGTAAAACAATTGGCCACTCACTATACATAGCAAGGCATGGCATCACAACCATCTTTTGGGCTCTGTGTGATCATTCCAATGGCACAGAACCCCAAAAGATGGTTGTGCTCTAGCCTGGCACTCCCTACCCTACCCACGTCTTTCCCTGCTAACATACATCCTAACTAACCTTATCCGAAGGGGCTAGAAGCAGTGTGCGTTGTGTACATCTGTGACTTATTGAGGCCGAAGAGCGATCCGGCGAGCCAAGTGATGAACTGATAAACCAAAGGCCCCACTGCTTTAAGACCAGTCTCGGTAGATGGCGCAGTGGCACAGGAAAAGTCCACCGAGATATGACCACTGAGACGGCAGGGTTGGGAGTGAGGGAGGGAGAGAGAGAATGAGAGAGAGAGAGAGAGAGAGAGAGAGAGAGATAGAGAGAGAGAGAGAGAGAGAGAGAGAGAGAGAGAGAGAGAGAGAGAGAGAGAGAGAGAGAGAGAGAGAGAGAGAGAGAGTTTTGAGACGTTTGACTAACGTGTTGGATGGAGCAGTGGCAGAGGGGGATCCGTGGCAAAGGCACTATTCCAGCATGAGAAGTACGGAAATGTGAAACAGAGAGGCAAGCAGCGATGTAAACAGAGGATTCAGGAGAGAGATGAGCAGGGAGGTAAAGGTTGAAATGATGAGAGAGGTGGAAGGGACATGGAGACGGAGAGATGGAGGAAGACTCACGCAGCAGTGAAGTGGAAGGCAAGGGTCTTGGAGTTGGCGGGGGAGTGCGCCCATATGATCCGATGGACGCCGCTCATTTTCACGGGAATAGACCCCGTGTTGGCCGTGCGGGAGAACCTGATTGGTCAACGAAATGAAAAAGAAGGGAGGGCGTTCAGACAGACAGACAGACAGCAGGTGGGGGAGTGGGTGACAGTGGGGGAGACAGAAGAATATAATGGCGGGTGGGCAGTGACGGTAGCTTATGTGATGTCGCGATCTCGCACCAATGTGCAACCCACTCACTGGATCACTGTGGAACCAGAAGCAGACGTCACGGTCCCAGCACTGCTGCCAATGTCAAACGAGCCGCCTTTTAACGAGGACATGGTGTAGCCGTCGATGTAGTACGGGCTGACGAGTCCCCCATCCTTGTTGCCAATGATAGCATCGGCGGGAGCCATGCCTCCTCCAGAGGCCCAACCGAGGGCGAACCAGCCGTTGCTGGCGCCGCTGCTGCTCTTGAGCTCCACGGCCACGTCCAGCTGCGTGGCGGACGCGCGCTTCCAGTGCAGCAGCACGCTGGGGAAGGGGGGAGGAAGCGGCAGGGGGATGGGGTTCGAGTGCAAACGGTAGGGGGAATAGAGGGGATTAGTGATGTGCCTTGAGCTCCACGTCCAGCTGCGAGGCGGATGCGCGCTTCCAGTGCAGCAGCACGCAGGGGAGAGGAAGGTGGAAGAAGGGGAGAAGTGGGGAGGGGAGGTACAAGGGAAAATGGGTTACATGTTTTGAGAGGCACAAGGGAGCTCCATGGAGCTTCCAGTGGAGTAGAATGCTTGGGACACAAGGGCATGGAATAGGAGAACAGAAGGGGGGATAGAAAGCAAGGGTGCACTGCAGGGTCGGGGCGAAAGTGCATTAAATCAGCAGGAAACGTGACTCTAGTGGCCTCAAGTGAAGGGGGGTGAGGGCGTGATTCTAAAACGTTAGGCTCTGCAGGTGCATACCCGGGTTTAATCTGCGCCTGGTAGGAGTAGCCGCAGAGTGTGGACGCAGAGCATGCCGTGCCGCTCACGCCCGTGTTGCCTGTGCACATGCCTGCTCCGGTGCCCGAGCCTGATCCCGAGCCTGAACCCGAGCCTGACCCCGAGCCAGACCCTGAGGCTGTGCCATCGCAAGAGAAATCAACTGTCTTGGCTCCTCTGGAGGGTTGGGAAACAGGCGGGGACGAGGAGGAGGAAAATTAACTCACATTTGGAGGGTGAAGAAAGAAAACTGTGGGCTGAAGGCACGCCTACAGCTGCTATGAATTGAGAGCCATTCAGAAGCGAGAGCGCGCGAGGCGGTAATACCTGTGCGAGCCGCCATGGTTGGCAACAGTCTTCGAGCTGCCAGACTCCGAGTAAGCCCACACGAGCTAGTTGCTCCCCGCCACCTTCACCGGCACAAGGCCGTTCCCCGACGCGCGCGTGAACTTCACAATCGTTCTTCCGCCCGACGCGGTAACGCTCGTGCCGGTGATGGCGAAGCGCGTGGTGGTAACCACATTCGAGTAGCTGGATATCGCGTACGTGCCGACGCCGCTGGCCGTCGCGAGGTTCCCGATGACGGCATCGGAGTTGAACATGCCGCCGTTGGTCCACGCCACCGAGAACCACCCGCCCGCCGCGCCGCTCGTTGGCTTGGCCTCGAGCGCGAGGTCGATCGTTGACCCCGTTGACTTTTTCCAGTGGAGGATGAGCCTGATAAGAAGAAAGCGACATGGATAGTATGATAATCACGAGACTGGAAAAAATCCAGGAATTCACATAAGAAAGTGTAGGCGACTCGAAATACGTGAACGGTTCAGGGTAGGACGACAATGTTTTATTTCAGTCTGGGATTCTTCGCTACTGTCGAGGATAATCTCTCAAGCTCCGATATAGCACTCACCCTTTGCCTGAGAGGTCCACAGAGCTCGTGTAACCCGCGAGAGTCGACGCCTGACACGTGGATGTCGAGGCAGGGGTCGCCAATGGTTTCGCCGCTGCTCCGCTGCTGGCTACAGTTGCGGGCCCGCTTGTAGGAGCAGCGCCAGTAGGAAGAAATTTGCGCAAGCTTTTCAGGCTGTTAGCGAGGCGGCCTTGGGAATGTCGGGCGGACGGACTTGAATGATCGCCGGCGGAGCTCGCATCGCCCGAGGCGGCTGCGGCGATTTCACACACCGCGGCGACGAGGAGGAACACAACGCTGAGGCGCATGGCCGTGATACGCGCCGGTTTGCTTGCTCTGGGTGCGGCCATGAGGACGGACGAGTGTTAGCGCAGGAATATTACTAGCCTAAAAACGCAATTTTCCTTTTTCGCGATGAGTAGGTGGAACGGTGTTGGGTAGGTAGCGCTGAGCGAACTTCACAAGGCGGGAACGTGAAAGGAGGTCGAGAGGGAATGGTGTGGTGGCGCAGGGCTGTGGCTGACGCAAGAAACAGCTTCACTAATGTAGGAATTTCTGAGAGAGCACTCAGTTGATACAAGAGAAGCAACTAGACTGATCACTTTAGACGTAAAGCTCTGCACCGTATTCTAACTCACCGAACCACGACAATAGAAGAATTCATCGTGTACCACACGCGCAGCTCTTTCATGCGCTGGCCTGGTTCGGATTGCAGTCGGTGGGAGGGACCCTGGTCTGGAATAGTTGGTGCTGGTAAGGAAGGTGGCCTGGGCGCCCCGCGTCAGACCAGATTGGGTAGCAAGTGACACGACGTTTGGGCGTGGCGTGGAACGGTGAAATAAGATTCTGGGTGGTAATTGTCTGGAAGAAGAGCCCTTCCCGTAGCGCACATCGCGCCTCGAAACAGCTGGCCGATAAAGCCGACGCGCGCCGCATTTTCCAGCCCAGGTTTGGTTAGTTTGCTAAATCCAGACCAGTCAACAACGTTTGTGGGCCTGACAGGTCAAAGAGCACCCCCAATCTGAGGCTCGGTGAGAAAGCTAAAACCAATCACACCAAGGCTCCACTTGGCGCGGGAGCCAAACCGTGTGTGAAGTATACCTCGTCACCGACACCGAACCTTGTGCTAGAGAAACGCGTTACCCAGGGTACCGTTGTTGGTTGACCCAAGGAGGTTGACGACAGCAAGTGGTAGCTACGTTTCGCGGGTTCGTTAACAAACGTCAACTGCTTTCTATTAGCAATTCACAACTGATACAAATTGTTTATGTCTGTTACGGGTGCAATGAATCGAGGTAGCAAGGATTGCACTAGAGTGTCAAACGAGTATCAAACGTGAGCGAAGGCATGAGCGAACATTTATACACGAAACATGCAAACGGTAACGCGGTGCGTGCAAGCTAGCTAGTGCTAGGCTGGCATCGAGGCTCGGGCTAGTCCCGAAGCGTAGGCCGATACGGCCAGGCCAGCGGTGCATGGTTTGGTGAAACAGTGCGCACGAAGTTGGCGAAGCCCCGTTAGCAGTAACGTGCGAATAACGACTGCTGCTGTACGCGATGTTGTAGGTCGCGGTAAGGAATGTCGAGGAAATTCCTTACATTACCCCCTCCCTCAAGAAGCCCCCTCCGCTACGCGAGTGCGTGTATATCGCAGAAATCCCGACTCCTCAGATACACTTGCAAGGCAGGGTGGTTTTCAATGTTGGCCAGGGGCACCCAGCTATCCTCAGTTGGCGCGTTGTCCTTCCAGCGAACGAGGAACCCGATCCTCCTGATTCCCGTGGGGTCTCGAATCCGATGGTTCATAATCTTTTTGGGCTCGATGATCGGCTCCGATGCAGGGCGAGTCATGGATGGCGGGCGGCGACGAGGCAGTTGGCTCGTGGTTGGGATGTAGGGGCGAAGCAGGCTGACGTGGAATGATGGGCCGATGTACCAGTCTGCCGGCAACAGTAAGTGGGCGGTAACGGGGGTGATCATGTGGCTGATTTGGAATGGTCCACAATAGCACGGTCGTAATTTTGGCACGACGGGCAGTCTTAAGTTCTGTGTGTCGAGTAATACGCAATCTCCTGACTGGTACGTGACTGGGCGGCGGTGGCAGTCAGCGTTGCGTTTAGCGATGGCATTGGCTTTTTTAATTGCTTCGGCGGCTCTGGTGCGGGCAGCTTGCAGAGTTTCGGCGAATTACTGTGCACGTGGCGTTGGGTTGTCCGGACTCGGCGTCATAGACATTGTAGGGTTTTGCCCATAGTTTAGATAAAACGGGGACTGCTGCGTCGTTGCTGACGTGGCATTGTTGTAGCGAACGCGACCAGCGGCAGCTGCTGCTCCCAAATTGTCGGGCCGTTGCACGTGGCCTGAATCAACTGCTCCATCGTCTGATTGGTCTGCTCCGTTTGACCGCCGGTCTCGCGGTGGTATGATGAGCTGAACTCTAGCCTGGTTCCGAAATTCTCCTAGAGGTTCTTCCAGAAGTTGCTGGTGAACTTTGTGGCGAGGTCGCTAACTGGTATCCCGTGTAGTCGAACAACGGCTGCACGCAGCGAAGTGAGCCATTATTGTCAGTCTGTCAACGACGATCATTACCACGTCGTTACCCCCAGGGTTCGAAGGTAACCCCGTGACGAAATCCATGGTAACCTGCTGCCAGACGCGCTTGGGCGGTGGAATCGGCTGCAAATGACTCCCCCCCCCCCCCCCCCCCCCCCCCCCTTTTCCTTTTTTTTTTTTTTTTTTTTTTTTTTTTTTTTTTTTTTTTTGAGCTCTTCATCACCTGACACGTAGGACACAAGCCCACGTGGTGCTGTACGTCGGTCAACAGCTCCGGCCAGAAGTAATACCACTGCAGTTGCTGTCGCGTTTTTTTCGACCCCAAAATGTCCCGAGGTAATTCCGTCGTGTGCCTCTTGCAGTAACAGCTCCCTCAGTAGTGAGTATGCGGGTACCCAGATGTGGTTGGTGCTTGTCTTTACGTAATAGACTCCCTTAGCTTCTGCCAGTTGTTGTGAATTCCCGGTCGTGAAAAATGGGTCGGTATTGTATTCGTGGGTGAATAGGCCTGTTAACAGTGGGTTGGTTTGGGCGAGTAGGATGGCGTAGAGTTGGGCGGTGGGGCGTATGAGTGCGTCGGCGATATTTGATGCACCTTTTTTGTACGTGACTGTACAACGGAAGCTGAACTCCAGATAGTCCAACCAGCGGACCTGTCGCGGGTTGAGATTCGGTTGGGCGCGAAGGTACTGTAGTGATCGGTGGTCTGTCCGTATTGTCACCTCCGCTCTCGTGAGGTAACATCGCCACACATTGAACGCGTGCACGATCGCCAACATCTCGCGGTCGTGTATCAGATAATTTCGTTCGTGCGGGTGAAGCTTGCGGGACTCGTACACGATTGGCTGAGGGCCGAGAAGGCAACTTGCTCTTTCTCCCCCCACGTGTACTCAACACCCTTCCTCAGCAGGTCGGTCAATGGAACAGTCAACTTCGCCATGTCGCGGACGAACCGGCGGATGTAGTTGACAAACCCCAAAAAACCCTACAACTCGGTCAAGTTTGTCGGCGCGTTCCACGCTTGGATCGTCGCGATTTTCTTATGGTCTATTTCCACTCCTTCAGCTAAAATAATGTGTCCCAAAAACTCCAGTCTGTCCTGTAGAAACTCACACATAGAGGCTTTTGTCAGTAGGCGGTTCTCACTCAGTATTTTAAAAACTGCTTCGATGTCCTTAGTGTGAGAATAAGACCGAGGAATGAGTTCATTAAGCAGCATGAGGAGTACAAGTAGGAAACCCTAACACTACTGTACCCCATAAGGAGTGCCCCACTATAGCCTACAATATAGTTCTGACACACCCCCATAGGCAAAGTGGGGGACAAGCAAGAGAACAAGGCAAGATCAAGCTCAAGGTGGATCACAACGTTACCACACATTCTGAGCACAAGTTCAAGGCCACAAGGCCGGTTCACATGCAGGATTATACATCAAAGTGAACAAGCAAGATAGTGATCGCAGCCTAACAAAGGTAAGCATGCACGCGCAGGTATATATAGATCACAATACAAGCAAAGTCAAGAGGTAAGCAAGTGAGGCCCGGTAGGCACAAGACCTAGCATAGTACAGAAACGCTGATGATCACAAGGCTGAAGTGCCTTGGTGAAGATATCAGCGGTGTTGGCCCGAGAGGCCACGTAAGCAAGACGAAGCTGACCACGCTGCTGCAACTCTCGAGCAAGGAAGTAGCGCAAAGCAATGTGCTTCGTTCTGTGCTCCTGATACAAGGCCAGCATGGCCTTGTTGTCGACGTACAGAACTGGAGAAGAACAAGGCGCCTCTCCCAAGTCGGTCAACAGGTAGGTGAGCCAGCGTAACTCCTGTGCAGCCATGGCCCCTGCGTAGATCTCAGCCTCACAACTGGAGCTGAGAACAGAAGACGAGCGGGTAGACCGCCACGAAACAGAGCCGGAACCAAGGCTGAAGGTGTAACCCTGTGACGACCGCTGCGTAGCCCAGTCGTCAACCCGAGAAGCGTTTGCGTGATCTGTGAGGACAACTCGAGCCCGTCCTCCAAGCACGAGCCCCATGCCTGACGTACTGCACAGGTAGCGCAACACCCTCTTCGCTACAACCATGTGCTCTGGTCGGTGTCTCCCAGGAGCAACATAGCGTGCCAAGATGCTAAGAGGGTATGCCAGGTCAGGTCGAGTGCAGGTCATCAGGTACATGAGGCAGCCAACAAGCTCTGGGTACGGGCCACTCGGCTCTATGGACTCATCCGAAGGCAGAGCTGAGAGCGAGTGGCGAGTAGACAGAGGAGTGGCCTGCAGCGAGGAGTACGTGAAGTTGAAGCGCTGAAGGACTTGCTGCACCATGTGTGACTAAGTAAAGGTAATGGTGCACCGTGCTCTGTCCCGGGTGATCTGCAAGCCAAGATAGCTGTGCAGCTCACCCAGGTCTGTGCACGTGTGTCTCTTCTGCAGCTCCGACTTCACGTGGGCCAGTCTAGCAGTGTCAGCAGCAGCAAAGACCAAGTCGTCGACGTACACGAGGATGTAGAACGGCGGCAGAGTAGTGTCGGTGCGGAGAAACAACGATGGGTCAGTAGTGGAAGGAGCAAACCCAAGAGCATCAAGCGTAGTTCTCAATGTGTCGTGCCACTTACGGGGCGCCTGGCAGAGACCGTAGACTGGCCGTCGGAGGCTTTACTAGGTACCAGGAGGAAACGACCTGTCAAACATTATATATGTTGTGCTTGTTTAGGCTACAGTGGGTTAGCCTATAGGGGGTACACAATTTTAGGGTTAGGTACTTGTACTGATTTCAGTGTTAGTTCAATCATTCCTGTTCGTTC